TCATTTATATGATTTAATTCTATATAATATCACATGTGTAATACTTATACAGAAGTTTCAAATAACATTGCCATATTCCATACCTTAAAGTTATTGTTGTCATAACCGATCTTCAGTGTGTATATTATAAACTTGTTTTGTGTAGATTGTTCAAACATTAATGTAATTTTATTTTATTTTCGTTTCTATAATATAATATTTTTCTTACCCGATTTTCCCTTGAACGAATAGTGCTGATTGCCAGTTGTTGCAAATAAAATTAGTTCAGCTTAATGTGAAATAATTAACTTAAAATAAGTTTAACTATTTTGTTTTGAAAGGGGAATTCCGTTAGGTCAAGAAAACACAAAGATAAATGCAGTTTTTTCTTAATTTAAAGAATTTTCTTTTTCTCATATGACTTAGGGGAAGTTCAGGTAAAAAGCGGTAGTCGGACAAAATTTGATACCTCAATTTTCTCTACCGTAACGTGCTGCTACCTGGTGCCGGTGATATTAAATTCTGTCCTCTAAAACTTCGGTGTTTCACTTAAGAAAATAGAATCACATATCTCGAAGAGTTTAACAAACATATAAATCGTTTGATGTTCTGTTCTATCAGAAGGCAAAAATAGTCCGAATTTTCTTATATCAAGAATTCTGTTAATGTCTCTAACTTTTCTGTTATCATTATATCCTTGATGACTAACAGACTTCCTTCTGGATAATTACTGTTGAATTATACAGATATTTCATATGGAATAAATATGTTCAATTTTTTTTATGTCCAGTGTAATGAAGTCGTCATTTTTAATAGTAGACAGCAACTCGAATAGAGCCAATCCACATTTTCATATATTTGTTTTTCTGCTTAACACCCAACCTCGTAGTCTCTGTATAACCATACTTTCCATGACAATTATCTCAGCGCGTTCTATTCTTGCATTGATATATGTGGCTTATTACATTTAAATCTGTTGAATAACGAACTGATTGAAAGTGTTCTCTTTGAAAGAAATTCCACAGGACTGCTTGCAACACTACTTCTAATAGAAAAAAATTATACTATTGAAGCATATCAAAAAATGTTAAAAAATAAATATGTAATACGAATGTGACTCTTGGGAAAATTTTAACACATCACTTTGACCTTTTCGGCCCTCTAGAGTAATGTTTTAATGAAAAGAAAATCATACTACACATGTGGAAAATGACCACAATATACTAAACACTGGATTGCTTTCTTCTTGTTGTTGTTATTTCTTATTAAGCACAAATCTACACAAAAGGCTATTTGTGCTCTACCCATCACAGGTGTCGAAACTCGGTGTCCGCAGACATGCCGCTGTACCACTGGGGGGAAGGATTGTTTTCTAGTGGATATCGGTGTACGTTAATATTACGTACTGGTAGTGTATAATTTATTTTCATTATGTAACTTAAACACTAATGCAAATTAGCTGTACACTCCCCAGTTGCTCAGCGGTAAGTCTGTAGGCTTAATACGCTAAAATTCAGGTTTCGATACACGTGGTGGACAGAGCACAGATAGTCTATTGTGTAGTTTGTTTGTTTGTTTGTAATTAAGCACAAAGCTACACAATGGGCTATCTGTGCTCTGCTCACCACGGGTATTGAAACCTGGATTCTAGCGTTGTAAGTCCGCAGACATACCGCTGTGCCACTGGGGGGCATTATTGTGTACATTTAAGCTTAAGAAAAACAAAATAAACAAAACTGAGTTAATCATAACATACAGATTTATCCTTTGACCTTTGTCATTAAATTAACACTGGGCATGTAAAGTTACTTGTATAGGAACGTTAGAAACGTATCTTAAAATGAATCCAAATCAAGTATCCTGGGCTTTGGAAGGGCCAGGATATGCAAAATCATACATTTATCCAAAGAATACTTTACATGATTTTGTTTGGTGTAAATTATGTCAGCATTTGGTTTATTTGTTTGAAGTTAAGCACAACACTACACAATGAACTATCTGTGTTCTGCCCACTACGGGTATCGAAACCCGGTTTCTAGCGTTGGGAGGCGCCAGCATTGGAAGCCTGACAAATGACATATATAATGAGAAAATATTTTTACAAAGTTTAATAATTATAGCCGAATACAATAAATGAAGTTATCCAGTTGGGCATATATACGAACTGAGAACGTACGAAACTCTTTGAAAAGTAAATAAACAACGGTGTAGTATTCATATATACACGCTGTTTTTAGTTTATTACCTGAACAACATGGTACATTATCTGTCAGTTCATGAGGCGCACTATATATCGAAATACAGCTCTGCAGATACCTAGTTGCTGAAAATATAGATATGTATAGTTGGCCGAACTCTCACTAGATACAGCTATGCAGATACCTAGTTCCTGAAAGTATAGATATGTATAGTTGGCTGAGCTCTCATTAGATACAGCTATGCAGATACCTAGTTCCTGAAAGTATAGATATGTATAGTTGGCCGAACTCTCACTAGATACAGCTCTACAGATACCTAGTTCCTGAAAGTATAGATATGTATAGTTGGCCGAACTCTCACTATATACAGCTCTGCAGATACCTAGTTCCTGAAAGTATAGATATGTATAGTTGGCCGAACTTTCACTATAT